AAATGCATGAAGTATTAAGCTTGACACACAAACAGAACACACAGAAGGTACTAAAGTATTAGCTATGATTATGTTAATGTCTAGAAAACCAGGGATTACTCAGGTAATAATGGGGGGAAAATAATACCAATGGTAACTTTTAAATTATTTTTATCTGGCTCATTTACTTCTTACATTAACTGCTTTCAAGAAACCTTCCTCTATTCTCAACAGAATTTACATGACTCCTAGTTAAGTTCTATAAAAACTGAAAAATATAATATCTATATATCACATGCACAATCACATGGAGTTTTCATAAACACATAGTTAAGAGGCTTTTAATCTAATGGCAACATGTTTTTAAAAGTCAAAATTACACTCATTTTCTGTAAAACTACAACAGTAATTATCTCAAGCAAGGTAACCATCAGAACCAGGGAACGTAATTGCCTGGTTCTAATGCTTGAATATGCGTATAATGGATTCGATCTCTAATACCTACTCCTTTGCAGTTGTCAATATTCATGAAATGAGATTAACTCTCAACCTAGCTCATTTCATATAATAACAAATGCAAGCAGTCATCTGAAATTGATGGCTCATCCTTATTTGTGAAAACCGGGCCTCATTCTTGGTTCAAAGTTTGTAATGGGTCAACAACCTCACATGGGCTAATGCCCACAATTTACAAGTGACCAGATTGGAAAGTACATGCTGGAAATGCTGCCTTCCCCCAAGCCAGATCTATTCATTAATATACCTGTGTCTACTGACAGACAAGAAGGCAGGCTGGTAAAGCATATTTTCAAAGCTGTTTTAAAGGGATCAATTTTAATAAGGAGTAATTAAAGACGGATTGTAAATCGGATAACAGTTTTACACCCCTAAGGTAGGGACGTGTTGAGACACGACGTTAATAAGTACACGCATCAGTAATCTATCCACAGGTAGTTTTGGCCCTAATTTCAGGTTGAAAGTCCTCAACTATGAAGCTTTCAAGTTTCGGTACAGTAGGCACTTTCACTCCCCAGTAGAAATCTGGTGTGATGGCCAAAAAAATTGTGTTGTCGCCCCCAAACCGCACCATGCCAAAGTTCAGCCCAGGCAGAGTTAATGCACCGTTATGTATTTTTCAAAAACAGGTATAGGTTGCCCCTTTTCTCAGAATCTAACAGACAGGAATGGTCTCTTGTGGCTGCCCAAATACGGCGGTAAGGACCGATGTACCAGTCCCTAGCAAGTAGGAAATGACTAATTTTTAAAACCACTCCGACCGCGGGCACTTCAGGCCCCTCTTCAACTGGCTTCAGAGGAAAGGAAGAGAAGACGGTTAAGGGTTACAGCGGAGGAGGCTGAAAAACAGTTCCTAAAGCAAGATTAGCCAGACACAAGCTAGACCCGGAAGGGCAGGAGTGACCTCTCTAGGCCGCCGGGGGCGGTGGGGTCGGCATTGAGGACCACCCTAGTCTGGCAGGCGGACACCGCCACAGCTCGAGAAGCCGCAGGCGCGGAGCAACTGCCAGGTTAGCGCCGCGAGTCAGCTCTCCGACACACGCCCAGGGTTGAAGGTGCCCTCTAGACCCCTCCCGGTGTCCCACAGAGGTCTAGGGCCCATGCTACCTCTTAGGACGCTGAGGCCGCCACCACCGCTCCTTCCCGCCGCGCAAGCTGGAGGACAGCTCCTTGGATGCCACGGTGGTGTCACTCAGCAGAGCAACCCGGCCGAGCGTGGGTTCGGGCGCCGGAACCCGCGGGGCTCAGGCGGACTCTCGCCCCCTACGGCCCCCGGCCCCGCCACCGCGCCCACTAGCAACGTGCTCGCGACCGCCCGCGCCCGCTCAGCGCAGCTTCTGCATACCGCGCGCGGCACGTCGGGACTCGTAGTTCTGGCGCGGAGGACGTGCGCCACGGCACTCTAGCCAGAGAGGCGCCACGTGACGGTCGCACTCCCGGATGTGACGTAACAAGACACGCGTGGCGCGACCCGCAGTTTCCGCAAACAGAATTGCGTTTGGCTGTGCTGGTGAGTGTGGCTGGAACGCCGGCCTTTCATTTCTTTGTGTTTACCCCTCGGCCGCCGTGGAGGAGGAGGAAGCGGCACTCCCACTCCTGACATGGGGTCAGTTCGCATTAGACCTGTGCTTTAGTACCTGCCGCGTGGGTCTATTTCCTTGTGTCCTCAGTCCCAAGCAAAATGGGAACTCTTAGGGGTGGTCGGGCGCTGTTGATCCTCCAGACCGAGCGAGCCTGGGGTGGGAGAAGAAGTCCGAAGAGCTGCTCTAGCTCGTGCCCTAGGGCTGTGCTGGGGAAGGGTGGGGGGTCCACAGGTTTCTCTTGAGCTGCGCCTCGGAAACATGAACTAGAGGTTGAGTAAGAGGCCGCGCGAATGACGGAGGGGGTGAACTTGGCTGGAGAAGTGCGTTCTCGCTTCTGCGCGCTTCTCGGGCCGGGCAGTAGAGGGTCAAGCGGGCGGGTCGGGGCTTAGGGCTTATCCTGCTTGAGCTTTATCCTGGCGGCCTGCTCTGTCGTACCCTGAGGAACTGAAATGACGCAGGGACATAGCTTACTTCGGAGGTGTGACTGTGGCAAGTCGAAATGTCCATGTGGTTATTTATCGCATATCCATCCCGATGTCAGTCGACCACCTCTCGAAGGTTTCTCCTCGAGGATTCTGAGGGATAGCTCTCTTCCCTTTGGAGTATTTTAATTATTTCACTTTGAGTTTGGTTTGGGTTTTTTCCCCCCCATTTGTTAAATTGATATATAGCAGTTGTAGATATTTGGGGGGTAGAGATGATACTTTGATACATGCATACAATGTGTAACGACCAAATCAGGGCAATTAGGGTATTTGTCATCTCAAACATTTATTTTTTCTTTATGTTGGAAACATTCCAATTTTTCTTGTAGGTATTTTGAACTACACAATAAATTACTGTTAACTACGGCTTCCCGACTGTACTGTCAGGCACTAGATGTTATTCCTTCTGGGGTTTTTGTACCCATTAACCAATTTCTCTTCTTCATCCTCCTCTTCTGCCACACTTCCCAGTCTGTGGTAATCACCAGTCCACTCTCTACCTCCATCAGGTCCGTATTTTTAGCTTCCACATAAGTGACAACATGGTATTGTCTTCATGTACCTGACTTATTTCACTTAATGTAATGACTTCTAGTTCCATCCATGTTGCTCCAAATGACAGGATTTCATTCTTTCTAATGACTGATTAATATTCCATTGTGTATATATGCTACATTTTCTTTATTCATTTGTTGATGGACACTTAGTTTGATTCTATGTCTTGACTACTGTGAATAAACTTGAGACTGCAGATGTTTCTTAGGTATACTGATTGCCCTTCTTTTGGATCTGTACCCAAATTTGCGAAACTATTCATCTCGCAGGGGATTAACAACCAGAATATAGAAGAAACTCATCTAAATACCGGTAATTCTATTTGTAGTTTTTTGAAGAACCTCCATTCTTTTTCCAATATGTAAATTAATGGTTGTGCTAATTTACATTACTACTAACACTGTACAAGTGTTCCCCCTTTTGTGCATCCTCACCAGCATCCTTTTTTTTTTTCTTTTGTTTTTTTGAGACAGAGTCTCTCTCTGTTGCCCAGGCTGGAGTGCAGTGGCTCGATCTGGGCTCACTACAACCTCCACCTCCCAGGTTCAAGCTATTCTCATGCCTCAGTCCCCTAAGTTGCTGGGATTACAAGCACAGACCACGACGCACAGCTAATTTTTGTATTTTTAGTAGAGATGGGGTTTCACCAGGTTGGCCAGGCTGGTCTAACTCCTGACCTCAAGTGATCTGCCCATCTCAGCCTCCCGAATTGCTGGTATTGTAGACGTGAGACATCATGCCTGCCTCAGCATCCATTTTTATAAAATCTTTCTGATAAAAGTCATTTTAACTGAGATTAGATGGTATCGTATTGTGGTTTCGACTTGCATTTCCCTGATATTAGTGCTGTGAGCATTTTTTATATATATATACCTGTTGGTTTTTTTTTTTTTTTTAATTGCATTTTAGGTTTTGGGGCACATGTGAAGAACATGCAAGATTGTTGCATAGGTATACATGCGGCAGTGTGATTTGCTGCCTTCCTCCCTATCACCTATATCTGGCATTTCTCCCCATACCACCCCCCCAACTCCCCAACCCCCGCTGTCCCTCCCCTATTTCCCTCCAACAGACCCCAGTGTGTAGTGCTCCCCTCCCTGCGTCCATGTGTTCTTATTGTTCAACACCCGCCTATGTGTCGGAACATGCGGTGTTTGATTTTCTGCTCCTGTATCAGTTTGCTGAGAACGATGGCTTCCAGGTTCATCCATGTCCCTATGAAGGACACGAACTAATCGTTTTTGATGGCTGCATAATATTCCATGGTGTATATGTGCCACATTTTCCCTGTCCAGTCTATCATTGATGGGTATTTGGATTGGTTACAGGTCTTTGCTTTTGTAAACTGTGCTGCAATGGACATTCCTCTGCATGTGCTCTTATAATAGAACGATTTATAATCCTTTGGATATATACCCAGTAATGGGATTGCTGGGTCAAACAGAATTTCTATTTCTGGGTCCTTAAGGAATCGCCACACTGTCTTCCACAATGGGTGAACTAATTTACACTCCCACCAGCAGTGTAAAAGCGTTCCTATTTCTCCACATCCTCTCCAGCATCTGTTGTCTCCTGATTTTTTAATGATCGCCATTCTAACTGGCATGAGATGGTATCTCAGTGTAGTTTTGATTAACATTTCTCTAATGACCAGTGATGATGAGCATTTTTTCATTTGTTTGTTGGCCTCATGTATGTCTTTTCTAAAGTGTCTGTTCATATCCTTCCCCCACTTTTGAATGGACTTGTTTTTTTCTTGTAAATCTGTTTTAGTTCTTTGTAAATTCTGGATATCAGCCCTTTGTCAGATGGGTAAACTGCAAAAATTTTTTCCCATTCTGTTTGCCGATTCACTCTAATGACTGTTTCTTTTGCTGTGCAGAAGCTGTGGAGTTTGATTAGGTCCCATTTGTCTATTTTGGATTTTGTCACCAATGCTTTTGGTGTTTTGGTCATGAAGTCCTTGGCTATGCCTATGTCCTGAATGGTTTTGCCTAGATTTTCTTCTAGGGTTTTTATGGTGTTATGTCTTATGTTTAAGTCTTTAATCCATCTGGAGTTAATTTTAGTGTAAGGTGTCAGGAAGGTCCAGTTTCTGCTTTCTGCACATGGCTAGCCAGTTTTCCTAACACCATTTATTAAACAGGGAATCCTTTCCCCATTGCTTGTTTTTGTCAGGTTTGTCAAAGATCGGATAGTTGTAGATATGTTGTGTTGCCTCCGAGACCTCTGTTCTGTTCCATTGGTCTATATCTCTGTTTTGGTACCAGTACCATGCTGTTTCGATTACTGTAGCCTTGTAGTATAGTTTGAAGTCTGGTAGTGTGATGCCTCCCGCTTTGTTCTTTTTGCTTAGAATTGATTTGGCTATGAGGGCTCTCTTTTGGTTCCATATGAAGTTTAAGGTGTTTTTTTCCAGTTCTGCGAAGAAGGTCATTGGTAGCTTGATGGGGATAGCGTTAAATCTGTAAATTACTTTGGGCAGTATGGCCATTTTCACGATACTGATTCTTCCTAACCATGAACATGGAATGTTTGTGTTCTCTCTCATTTCGTTGAGCAGTGGTTTGTAGTTCTCCTTGAAGAGGCCCTTTACGTTCCTTGTTAGCTGTATTCCTAGGTATTTTATTCTCTTTGTAGCAATTGTGAATGGCAGTTCATTCTTGATTTGGCTCTCTTTAAGTCCGTTATTGGTATATAGGAATGCTTGTGATTTTTGCACATTGATTTTGTATCCTGAGGCTTTGCTTAAGTTGCTTATCAGTTTCAGGAGACTTTGGGCTGAGATGATGGGGTCTTCTGGATATACAATCATGTCATCTGCAAACAGAGACAGTTTGACTTCCTCCTTTCCTATTTGAATACCCTTTATTTCTTTTTCTTGCCTGATTGCTCTGGCTAGAACTTCCAGTACTATATTGAATAGCAGTGGTGAGAGAGGGCATCCTTGTCTAGTGCCAGATTTCAAAGGGAATGCTTCCAGTTTTTGCCCATTCAGTATGATATTGGCTGTTGGTTTGTCATAAATAGCTTTTATTATTTTGTGATACGTTCTGTCAATCCCTAGTTTATTGAGGGTTTTTAGCATAAAGCGCTGTTGAATTTTGTCAAAGGCCTTCTCTGCATCAATTGAGATAATCATGTGATCTTTGTCTTTGATTCTGTTTATGTGGTGAATTCCATTTTTGGACTTGCGTATGTTGAACTAGCCTTGCATCCCTGGGATGAAACCTACTTGATCATGGTGGATAAGCCTTTTGATGTGCTGTTGCAATCGGCTTGCCAGTATTTTATTGAAGATTTTTGCATCTATGTTCATCATGGATATTGACCTGAAGTTTTCTTTTCTTGTTGAGGCTCTGCCAGGTTTTGGTATCAGGATAATGTTGTCTCATAAAATGATTTGGGAAGGATTCCCTCTTTTTGGATTATTTGGAATACTTTCAGAAGGAATGGTACTAGCTCCTGTTTGTATGTCTGGTAGAATTTGGCTGTGAACCCGTCTGGACCTGGGCTTTTTTTTGGTGGTAGGCTCTTAATTGCTGCCTCAACTTCAGACCTGGATATGGGTCTATTCAGGGTTTCGACTTCTTCCTGGTTTAGGCTTGGGTGGAGGCAAGTGTCCAGGAATTTATCCATTTCTTCCAGGTTTATAGTTTATGTGCATAGAGTTGTTTGTAATAATCTCTGATGATGGTTTGAATTTCTGTGGAATCTGTGGTGATATCCCCTTTATCGTTTTTTATTGCATCAATTTGGTTATTCTCTCTTTTCTTTTTTATTAATCTGGCTAGTGGCCTGTC